GGTTTCATATTTGTTATACACTTATTAAAAGAAGTCTACAGAAAAATTATGAGCGAAATCCATTTTGTGGGCAAAACTCGATATGAGGATCTTACAGAGACTGGCTCTTAAGTCAGCATAGTTATTGGCACCAATCATTTGGAAGAGCCAGTTTTAGAACGTCCCCCATATTTTTTCATCGCTACCTGTGAATAGGTTTTGCTGAAAGGAGGCCCGCTGTGGAACACCGTGCCCAGGCTCATCACCCCCGAATATTTACTTCTGTCTCTTGTAGTGGGTTCCAGACCTCGCTCCTACTTACTTACTTCCGCGACGGGGCCGAACGGGTGTTCACACTGCACCAAAGTTTGGCACAAAACCTATCCGATATGTGACGCTCCACTTTAGAGATGGGCGCGGGGCAGCTTTGCTCCGTCAAATAAATGGCGCCAAAGTCACCCCTCTTATGTATGAACAGAATAGGTTGGTGTTGTGTCGAATGGGATATCACCTTCTTCGATTATGAGGTTGCGCAGAAAAAAGACAATGAAAAACGATGTATAGCAGTGTTTTCATTAGCATATTCATTTAATGCAGCTGGACAAGGTAATCAATGGAGTTTTAAGGCCACTGACTGTAAAGCGTATTACAGTAGGCGCGTTAGATCATATGCCCATGTACTCTGCGCTATATAAATAAAGCTATTATTCATTACTGTTTCATTAGAGTACCTAAAGTAGGCTGAAATCTCTCTGAAATGGAAATTTTGATGTCTTCTCGTGGACTAACTTATAATTATGGTCACGTGACATGTCGCTTGATCTAAAAAGTAAACCTCATGGTATAGAGAGTTTCACATGACGTCACGGTGGCCATATCGCTGTCCCAAAACAATGAAACGGAGGCCATGTTGGTGTCCCAAATCAGTCCTCTGGGAGTTGAATTCTTTTTTTATGCGACCACTTTCTTTTGTTCCAATAAATTTGCATATATGCTGGCCACGTGAGTGAAAACACTCTATAATGGAAACTCAGTGGCTTATTTATTTTGTATTCTTGGGTCAAGCGAATTAGCGTTTTCGATAGCGAAAAATCATATTTTACGTTGTACGCTAATTGGAATGATTGTGCTCGAAGTTCAAAAAGAGTAATTTTGACCTTTGACATGACGTTTGTTCAGTCAAAACTCTTTATTGAAGTGCGGTGGTTTTCATTCCGAAAGTAAAGTCTTAAAAACACTAGAATTGGGTCAGAAAGAAAGTTTTCATTTGATTTCTTTTCTTAAACCAAGGGGCTCCTGCTTAAACCCGTGACCTTTCGTCAGTTATCTATTATTTTACCGAAATTTGGCAACACGACTTACTGAAATTATAGTTATGCCCATATAAGAATGCTACGGACCAGATTCTAATTAGTTCTATTTTGCTACAGCTATGGCCAATAAGCCATTTTTTTCCGAGGTAAACATATTAAGCTAGGCCTTAATTCACCTACTATTTGAGATGTGGTCTGCAATAATTCCTTGATTAACTGAGTATAAAATTCGATTTTTTGAATCGCTACTACTCGATTTCAGTTAGTTTTAGCATGCCGCATCGAACGAGCAATGTTAGAGTACTTTCCAGTTTGCGTCTAAGTCTATTTTGAGATTTTAACAGCCATTTCTACGACGGCTAACATATATGGAAAGTTGTGAAGATAAAATACGTTTTCCTTCGGAGGGTCACTGGCTATGCTGTTTATTTCCTTGCGCCCTGACGCTCCAAAATTTCCCACAGCTAAGACCAGAACTTCTGTTCGAATATTTTTCAGCAGCTTCGCTTGTTCTACGGTCTGATCCGACTGGATGTTCGAACCGCCATCGGTTATGACGATCGCCAATCTAGTAGCGAGAGGCCTGTGCCCCGAGGCTGCTGGGTTTAGGAAAAGATCTCTTCTAGCCATTTTAAGGGCGTCTTGAGTGTTTGTTAAGCCACCGCTGTGTACGACATTCAACAATTTCTTTTTTGCCTGATCTGGTGAGATGAAGTTAAACAAAAGCGTGGCCTGATCGGAGAACTTTATGGCGGCGAATTTTGAGCCTGGATGCTCTGACTGCGCTCCTTCGATCATAGTCCTTAATGCTTTCAAGCCCTTGTTGAAATCATCGGAAGGAATGGAACCTGAATCGTCGATGATAAAGACAGCATCGTGCTGGCTCGTGTCGTCAGTGTCGTCTACAGAAAACAGAGTCAATTCATATGGATTTCGCGTAGGCTTGTGACGCAGGAAAGGTAGTTTTTTGGCAAGTCTTCTGGCAAGCTGCATTTTTGACGGATTACCTATTTGAAAATATTGTAAATCAGGTAAATTCCTCGGCAGATAGCCTTCAACGCAGGGCTACTTCCCTTTTGTCCAGCGATTGCGCCAACCCTTGCGACTGTTGGGGGGGGCTGGGGAGAGGGGTACCCAACAAATGTTTTTACGGGGAGGCTTCGCCCCTAGGTCCAACCCCTTACCTTTTATATACCATTTTTCACGAAAAAGGTACCCCTTTTGTATACTTTTTATTAACAAATGGTACCCCTTTCACATACCTTGTTTAGAGCTTTGCATCCCTTTTTACTGCTGCAAATTTACTGTCTTTAAATAGGAACTCTAGTCACAAAAATATAACGTTTTCTCAACTTTATAAAGCTATAAAATTCATCTGTTAGCCCTTTTGGGCCCTTTCGCAGACCCAAATAAAAGATTTCCCTCCCCTTTTATATCTATACTTCAACATCTTGACCTCAACTAGTGAAATTCCTACCCTTTCATGTACCTGAAGCTTGAAAAAGGTCCCCTATTCGGTTGGGGCCTCCCCGTATAGGCCATCACAGGGAGTAGCCTCCCTGGGGCGAGGAAAGCCATAACTTGAGGTTACGTCTGAATTCCAAGCATGCAATCCCTCCGCCGCGGTAATTTGTCGAGCATGTTAAAAAATATAACGTTTCTAATAACCCTCCCCCTTAGCGGAAATGCTAAAATAATGTTTTCGAATGCTTTGAAAAAAGGAACGGGAAGACGGCAAAAAGTAAATGCTCTAGGATTTAATCAATTAATAACTTATTAGCCATATATGGTTAAGAATTTTTGGTGTTTGTAGTTTTAGTTATTTGGAAATGGTTGATATACTATTTATTGTATAAGAGCTCCAAATAAAAAACATGTATGTATGTCAACCTGGTTTTCATGTTACGTTTTCGGCTTTTGCTGCCCTTACTTACATTGCCTAGGGGATAAAATTAATGCTCACAAAAAAACCTACCATTGGCCGAGTTCTGCGTCAGGTAAACTGAGAGCAGAATGGACAGAGAAAACGCGTAAACTCGAATACCGGATCTGGATGACATCTCAAGCTTCTCACTGGGACGCAAGCTTTCTGCCTTTTAAAATACTCGAGTGCAATCTTAATGTGCGAATGATTAGTTGAGAAGGACGAGCTAATTTATAGAAAACTTAAACTTCCGCCATCAAGTGTTTCAGTTTGTTTCAGTAAGTCTCAGCTCAAAGAAAAACGTAGCCTGCGTAGCAAGCGTTTCCGGGCGGTTTAGGATCAAAGAACGAAGAACGAGAGTCAAAGACCGCGCGAAAAATGGCACAAGTAAAAGAGCATTTCATTTCTCGCGCGGCCAAAACCGGTCTTTCTTTGCTCCGAAACCAAATGGAAACGCTTGCTACGCAGGCTAAGAAAAACGGTGTCATGACGGGTCACCTTTGCACAAAAGCCACGTGCCTAAAATACTGCGTGAGGGTCTCAGGGTGGTGGCATTTACGAACGGTTTCTACCGCATGTGGCTACTTTTTTCTTGTTACGATCAGCTTTATTCTAATTAAGGAGAAATTAAACGTTGTTTATTTTGAAAAATCTCAAACGATTTTAACAGTTTTAGCACTCGCAAAAACTTGGGTTTTCTCATTTTATTCAATCTGCATGATCTGTAACATGTAAACCTGGGGCGGAGCAGCAGAGGCTTAACTTAGTTATGAATTTATTGCATTTAAGATTGACTGTATTTATTTTATATCTTCACAAGTTTTTGACGTTAGCTGTTTTAATTAAGAGGGTTCGATCGAACCCCCCGAAGTCCTCCCACAGACCGGGCCCCCAGATCGGCCCCAGGCAAAAGATGAAACGTGATCTATGAGGTCAAAAAAAAAAAGAAACAGAACGACCAGTGTCATTATCAGTTAAACTTCAATGAGCATGTATCTTTAGTGTGTAAAGAGTCAGCGATCAATTAAATGTTATGATCAGATTTCGTAACCTTATTTGTATCGCCACCAAATTAAAGTTGTATAATGCTTTCATTTTGCCCCCCACTGTCAATAGTGCTCTACGGTGTAGCATTTTTGTAGTGCCAGAAACTGGGAATATTGTATTGTTTTTAATGATAAAGTTTCGTCCTACCAGCAGCTACTACATAATTCAGTAGGACCAACTCTATTCTCAAAGGTCTGATGCGATTGTTTCCTTCTGTACCACAACCGAAGGATACAAAATATGTTAATCACTTTCTACGAATGTTTGAACTATGAAAGTTTTCCTAAATATCTTAAAGACATGCTTACTTTGCGTCAGTTTTTATGCTCTTCTAGAAGAACTAATATTTTATCACAATGTAAACCTGCTACTACTTCTTATGGCCTCAACTCTTTTCGTTATTATACTTAGCTTTGCATCTAAGCAATGGAACGGTGTAATATCTGAGGCTACTTTTTATCTGGTTTTAGAAGACTCCTGAAAGCAATTTCCTTTCAGATATAACGGTATATTTAACATTTTTCATGTATGTAAATAGATTTTAATGCATTTAAATAGATTTATTTTATGTATGTAAATAGATTTCTCTTTTTTTTTCTCGAAGATGTTAGCCTTTTAGGCTACTCTGAAATTCGAGTATAAATAAAGATGTTACCTCAAAAGATCGTGTGAATCATCAGGAATAACAGGAAAATACATAGATTTTTCAAAAACAAAATCAACATAATCATTTAAAAAAAAATAAACAAAAACTTAATTAAAAAACTAGTATAGATTTTACTAACAACATAATTTGTTCTGAGTTTTTTGGCTCTCAGCCACTTTGATTGTAGGACGTTGCCATATTCATGGTTAGTTTGCCATCATGTTGACCTTGTCATATCGTAGACTTGATCCTGTTACCACTGTATGGCGTGAAGCATGTCTACTTCGATCCGACCTTTGGATTATCTTCAAACGCTGTATGTTAAGGAATATAATTCTGGCCTTGTAATATAAGCAAGAAAGTTGCAATTTCATTAGTTGTAACATGCAAGTCTAACATTAATTTCAATCAAAATCATTACCAAGCGTTTGTTGAATTATGGAAGCATCACTCTAACAATATCTTAGCTTTAATTTTACCATCATTTTGCTGAATTTGTCTGGTATAAGTTAGTCCTTATATAGAGCGTATATTCTTCCAAGAGATTCATATAGTTCCCAGTCATGGCGGGCTCCTGTTCCCAGTATGGTCCAGTATATTTTCTGGATACAGATAAACAGAAAAGTAATACATACAGATATAAAAGAAACAGTATTTAAAAAAGAACATGGAAATTTCCATGTATTTTCCACTGATATACGTACGTAAAGCTAAAGGTTCATGCAATTTTCATGTTCCTTTATGCAGATAACATAAGGAGTACAGGGCAGATTTTCATAGAAAGGACATGAAAGTATAGCTATAAGAGTACATGCGGTGGAACTGATTTCCATGTATAACCTTTAACGTTTTGGTGGGCGTGTGCTTGGCGAGACATATATCAACTCTGATCCTGTTCAAGAGAAAACGTCCAAACGCACTCTCTACAACTTTGGAGATTTTCGCTCATACTACAATAGGTTCATCTAGATGAAGAATTTTGCCAAAGAAAGTTATCTAGTGCCAGTCGCTCGAAGGTTGCTTTGTCTGTTAAACTGTGCACCTCGGGTAAAGACTTACAGCAGACGGCTATGCATTTGTGTGGCAGGAAAAGGCTGGCTAAATTTTGTCAGGTCGCTGTTAACGAGTTTTATACCGGTGTCACTGAAAGTGAAATTCTGTAACTTTATCGGATTGCGGCTAACTTTCACGTTCGTTCAGAAATAAAGATTAACGTAGCAATCTAAGCGATGAGTAGGTAATTCAATCCATTCAAAAGACTAGGGCACAGAAAGAAATATTAGTAGAGAGTAATGTTTTAGTGCTAGTGTTTTTTTGGCTAGCACTTGCGCATGTAGGTTTATACTGCTGATTATTTTATTGTTGAAAACTGGATACAATATAGAACTGTACCCTGGGTCCTCGGCAAGCTTTATACAGGGGCACCCAACGACCGTTTTCTGGGAAATGATCTGAAATGGCTCGTTATGCATCCTGGAGTGCTTTAAAAGCAATATAAATGAATAATTCGCATCGCTAGAAAAATTTGATCTGTTCGGTCGTCCTAGGAGTGGTTTGACCCTCTCGAATTTTTTAGGGCTGTTTTTCGCCTTTCCCGAAAATAACAGCCTACAGTGAAAGCTTTCCGAAAACGTAAGATTACCTGACGAGCTTTTCCCTTGACCGAAATTTTTAGGGGTCCTTTCAAGTTTTCTCCGAAAACTTTATCTAGTGTGAGAATGTCTCCGAATTTTCTAGGGCGACGTAGAATGTATAGAAAATTCTAGGTGTAAAAGAAAAGGCATTTAAGTGATTTTAAAGCCAGTTGAACGTCTAATGAATGTATAGAAAATTCTAGGTGTAAAAGAAAAAGTATTTAAGTGCACATGACCAAAATTTAAAGTTGCCAGCAGTAGTTTGTCCTCGCTCCTCGCCCCCCACCCCCCTCCCCACACACCCCCCAGGTGGCAATGAGCGAGCAAAAAAAAAACGGTGGAAAACGTCTGTTTTCGCGGGCTAAACTTCACTGAAACGCTGAAAGTTGCCTATTTTCTACACAGTTGACTGTAACTGCAAATGTCAGAAATGTGGCTTTATTAAAATTAGGTAGATCAGATACATGCGATGCCGAGAACAGTGCTACAATAGCGTTGTCTGGGTTATCCCTCCATCCGTAGTCCTGCTACGATACTGTCCTGAGTGTCTATCGACCGATACACAGGACTGACAGGCGCTATTCACGCGATGCGTGCGCTGATATAGCGCTCGCGTACGCGTAACCGGTAAGCCGGGGACCCTCAGAAAAGGGTCGTTGGGTTTTGAATGAGTTGTGTGAAATTTTTGCTAATGAGACTGTCAGCCGGGTTTAAAAATTTTGCTCTATTTTTAGTTTACGAAAGCTACGAAATTTCTAGGTGATCTAGAGATTACTACAAAATCCGAAATTCTTAGGTGAACAAACCACACAAATCCCGAAACTCTGAGCCCAACGAACAGTCACCACGAAACATTTTCGAAATTTTTAGCTGTTCTTGTGCTCTCGAAAATTTTAGCCATTCTAGAGGGCTCCGAACAGATATTTCCCCGAAAACGGTCGTTGGGTGCCCCTGTTTATAGCTCTCAGAAATATCGACGAAGCGATATAAAGGGCAAGATATAGCTTATATTTTGTTATAGTTGCAAAATAAAGCAAAATAATTAACAGCCACCACTGTTTCTCTGCCGTAAACAAGCGTGTTTCTTTTTATTACATTTTTAAGTATAAGAAGAAATCAGGAACCCATCCGGATGGGCACCTTGAGAAAGTGAATTTTGAGATTCCTAGTAGTGGAACAGGCAGATCACCTTCTGTTCGTGTGGCTGTTATTGTAAATGTTTCAATAAACGTTTCAAGAAAATGGTAACTAAATCATGTGTTACCGTAAAATTCCGAAAATAATCCCCGGGGCTTACATTTTTCAAAGGCCCTTTTTGAGGGGCTTGTATTTGGAGGGGCTTATATTCGGAGGGGCTTATCTATGGAGGGAAATTTGCGTTTCAAAATCGTTTGGTCTAGCCTTATAGTTGGAAGGGAATTTACCGTCTTTGCTTTGTTTTACTTTGTATGTGAGGACAATTTCCAAGTACAAGCCCCCGGGGGGCTTATATTTGGAGGGGCGCTTTAACGGAAGGTTTTTTGCGTTACGAGTTTGGGGGGCTTATATTTGGAGGAGCTTATACATGGAGGGGCTTATTTTTGGAATTTTACGGTATATTTTTTTCGCCGTCTCGAGCTGTCCTAAGCCGGCTATTTTGCGAGATGTTTATTTGGCAGTACCCTGGGTGGCAGAGACTTTTCTAGCGCTGTTTCTGGTTTCTGTCATGCTTCGCCGCTCGTGGTTTGGGCCTGTGGCCAAAGTTGTGGCGGCCTTAATTTCGATCAACACCGAAAATTCCCGCCGCACGCGAGAAAAACCTCTGGTAGCCAGGGTTATTTGGCAACGACCATTTACGAAAGGTAGAACTGCGGCTGCGCCTGAAAGAATTCACGTATTTGAATGGGTAGGGAAATCTGTTATAGTAGTACTTAAGAGGGTTAACAGAAGAATTTTTTGGCTGCGAAAAAATCGAGAGCATTTCCAGGCTTTGTGATAAAAGCTAGCACAAGTGGATAACGGTTTCTTGCAGGTTGATTACAGCTTTAAGCCTAAATACAGTTATGACTTGAGAAATAAGTTTACACTCAAAAAATATCAACTGAGCTGGTTATTTACCGTTTGTACAAGTTAAGTCTAAAGAATCTAGAGGGATTTCTACATTAGCATTTCTTAAAGCAAAATAACCAAATAACAATAAATTCTATTTTCACAACATATTGAACCAGGCCTTAATTTACCATTGAGTATTTTATCAATAATAATTAGCTGAATAATATAAAACTAGACACTGTAAAATTTACTTCTAACTCACCTTATCAAAAAAGGAAATATTGGGTTGCTTTTCAGTTTTAGTCAGTCACTTTTTAAGCCGTTCAAACTGGATTTTGGCTTAGAGCCTTTCGTGTGACTTCTAACATATCATCAAAGTACTCAACACGAAATACATTTTCAGTCCAAGAATAACTCAGCTATGTCCTTTATTTCCTGGTGTTCTGAAGCTCCAAAATTTCCTACAGCAAAAACCATAACTTCTGTTCCAATGCTTTTGAGCTGGATTGCTTGTGGTACGGTCTGATCTCGTTGGATGTTTGAGTTGCCGTCTGTTACAACCACTGCCAACCTATTAGCATTTTGCCCGTGCCCGGAGGCTGCCGGATTTAGGAAAAGATCTCTTCTAGCCATTTTTAGGGCGTCTTGGGTATTAGTCATGCCAGCGCCGTGTGCGACTTTTAACAATTTGTTTGCGGCATCAAATATTAATGTTTCCCGTTTCACCCTACCCTTTTAATGGCAATGCACTATAAGTATTATTTTTGATCATGTGTGTTTTTTCACTTGTATAGGAGATGCCATGGATATTGAGGACATAACCTGAGATCAGGCTCTATTTTCGTTTCGCTTTCAAAATTACAGGAGCGGTAGCCGTTAGAGAGGATATCTGAGAACCGCTAAAATTGGGCCTGATCTCAGGTTATTGAGGACGACGATAACAACTCGAATTCCAATATCTACGTCAATACTCCAGTGGTTCCACCTTCCACCCACCCACTCTCCACGCTCGCACGTCCCACGCAGTTAACTACAGTTGTGAGAATTGTTCAGAAAAATACATTCTGTCGAAGTTTCATCGTATATTAAAGTCAGTGTTCGGGTCCTGTACTCCTACTAGGTTACTTGACGTCTTACTCACTGTTTGCCAACGATAACAGCTTTTCAGATTGCGCACGTAAACTGATTAGTTTTGAACATTTCTCTTCTCTTCTGCTTTTGTTGTTTTGGATTATTTTCTGAGTATCGTCTCTAAGGCATTACATCATGTATTACGCAACCGGTTTAACGCCTTCTCACTAACAGATATTCATCAGAGATACCCGAAGGGGGTAAACGAAAAAAAGTACAAACACCGCACAAAAAATAAAAATTATAATAATAAAAAAGGATTTTCATAAGAATGCAGATTTAGAACGAACAGATGGCAAGGTAGCTTCCGATAGAGGAAAGCTAAATACAGGATAATGCCTGAGCTCCGAGTCCTTCTTCTTTTCGCCCCAGTAATGTACCAGTCAATTCCAAAACCGCCCGTGGCCCCCGGGTGAACTCCCAGGAATTTCACATTTTTGAAAAATTTTGGGAAAATTCCTAGGTATGTTGGCAGTTTAGATGGTCAAATGCCCTACCCCCCAGCGACTATTCAAAAATTTTCCCATGTGTCAAACTGTTTATTCAAATGTAAATAGGTCTAACTATCTAACGAAACACAACCGAAATATTTAAAGTCTCGAAAAGCTGTCTAACGAACGCTTGTTTATTTTGATTAAATTGTTCATTCCAGCGGAAAGCCTACATTTAACGGGTTCTTTCAAAGGCTCTCAAATGCTCAACAAAACAGCGAATATAAGAGCGATGACTCGTAAACGAGGTGCACATGAATTACGAAATCCTTTTGCTTGCTGACCAGCTAGCTTTTTACCGCGGAAGTCAAATGCCCAACTGGCGTGCCTCATTTTGGGTCAAGCACTGTGCGGAGCAAAACTCCAGTCAAATGCCCGGGGTATGCCCCCCCCCCCCGGGGGGGGGCTGGCTGTTTTGGAATTGAATGGTACATAATAATAATAATAATAATAATAATAATAATAAAATATAAGGAAAAGAGCCAAATGTCGCAAATTTCAGCCTCGATATTCTAATGAATATATTCTTATAAACTGAAAAGAGTGTGCTGAATTAGATTTTGATTGGATCCATCAAAACATACAGGACATTTGGAAAAACTTTTTATCTCTTATAGTTTGATTCTTCTTTTTATTGGATCTACAAAAAGTTTTATCATTAGTTTGATTGTATTTGTTTATTAGTTTGTGATTGTTTATTCGTAATTTTACAAATTCCCTCCTCCCAGCTGTTCCTCTTGTTGTCTCTGAGGTAATTTGAAGGAGTATGATCAGTTTTAAAAGATCTATGAAATGCTAATTTTTGAGAATCATGAAAGACGTTTACCAGTATGATATATACTGCTGTTTTATCAAACCTACAAATGCGGTATCTAACAAATCAGGTTTAAAGTCCGGTAGGTTAAAGTATTCTAACATCTTCATCAAATGAGAGTGAAAGCCATTTTTACCCGATTGCAATGAAAATCAAATCACATTTTTTTACTCTTTTAATCCTTCAGGTTATCCTCTCATTGAACTTCATTTTATATGCTTGCAACCATATTCGCGACCTGATGAAAGGCATTAAAGTCGTCAACAACGAAAAAGTTTTTGTCGGAAGGGTGACTGGCTATGTCTTTCATTTCCTTGCGTCCAGAATCTCGGTAATTTCCCACAGCAATAACCATAACTCTTGTTCCAATGCCTTTGAGCTGGATTGCTTGTGGTACGGTCTGATCCGGTTGGACGTTTGAGTTGCCATCTGTTACAACCACGGCCATCCTATGAGCATTTTGCCTGGATCCCGAGGCTGCCGGATTTAGGAAAAGATCTCTTCTAGCCATTTTAAGAGCGTCTTGGGTGTTAGTCATTCCATTGTTTCGTGGGACATTCAACAATTTCTTCTTTGCCTGATCTGGTGAGACAAAGTTAAACAAAAGGTGGGCCTTATTGGAGAACTTTATGGCAGCGAATTTTGTACCAGGTGACGCATCCCCGATAAGGAGTCTTATTGCACTCAAGCCCTTGTTGAACTGATCAGAAGGAATGGAGCCTGAATCGTCGATGATGAAGACAACATCGTACAGCGAACCACGGTCATTATACGACCCGAACATCAGGCTGTAAGACGGAGCAAAGGCCCCAGTGTTACCACCTGGCCTTGAACGACTTGGAAGTCGAGAAAAGGGGTTATTAGAAGATGGTTGACTTCGACGCAGGAAAGGCAGGTTTTTGGCAAGTCTTCTGGCAGTGTCCGTTTTTGACGGGTTACCTAAAATAAGATCAATAAACGAGGTCAATACTTATCTGCAGATACCCTGTGAACGCTCGCTTATTTCTCGTCTGCCCGCGTTTCAGTGTTATAGTAAGAATCAAAGACGATTTCTTGTGAGAGTTAGAATAATTAAATATTCGTTAAGTACTGGTCAAGTGAGCCTGTTTAAGACCTGCATACTCTCGACTGCTACTGGAATGAACTCGTCCACTAATTCAGTTTTTGCTCACATTTTCATAATCGTGCAATTAGTTTCTTCTCCCCAGTTGACACCGAATTTGTCGCTGGTTTTACTTATTTTAAGGACGAAAATGTACTTTATATTGATTAAAAATGAAAACAGGCTAAAAAACGATTAATTATAAAATTAAGCATGCTGTAAATTGGTCATAAAGGGTAGAAATTACTAAGAGAAAGAGGGTTTAAGTTAAAAGCGCGTCTAAGAAGGCAAAATTAATGACTTGGGAACTTAAAACACGGCTACTTTAGGAGGAGTTGAGGTTGTTTAATGACCTGCGTCACTTGGAATGATCGTTCCATAGCTTTGTCATTTTCGGAACGTTTACGAGCGCTGCCCAGTAACCAATGTAAAGAAAAACCCTACCATTAGCCGAGTTCTGCATCAGGCTGATGAATGAGAGGATAAGGAACAGGGAAACCAGTGGGTAAAATCGCGGAACACCAGGCATGGCTGACATTTCAAACTTCTGGCTAGCCTGCAAGCTTTCCTTTCTGCTTTTTCACTGCATGTGATCTTGAGCGCGAATGATCTCTGACTGGGAATAAGGGCCTAATTTATGGAAAAGTACAACATCCTCAAGGACTGGTTAGTTTGTTTGTTAGTGGCGTTTCAGCTCAGAAGGAAAATTTTGTGTCACGGACGGTCCATGATGGATCACGTTTGCGCTGAAGGTAGCTTGCCTGCAATCCAAAACAACCCCCAAGCCACTCTTTTAGTTTTACCGTCATGTTGACTTCCTTTTTAAAGCACTTCATCCTGTTATCTTCGCAGTTTACTACTAGTACCGTGATTTCAGCGTTCTTCGTAAAACTATTTTAAGCGATCACTAAAGAACACCACTTTACGGCCGGCCACCATAGTGTTGAATGCGACAAGTAGGATGAAAAAGCGCAAAAACGTCCGTTTCAGCGTATTGGCATGTTCAAACCAGCTAATACGAGAAGCGTGAGGTTTACTGTGTTGATCCGGGGCCTATATCACGCAATTGAATTTGCTTTCTAACTGAATACGGGTTTCGTGCACATCACTGAACTGAATTCAAAAAAATAGTGTTACGGTTTTGTTATTGAAGATTATATTTGAGCATAGAAAAAAGGTTGTCGTGAGTTGCAGCGGATGGCAAGGATACTTGGGACATAAATATATGCCATCCTGCAAAAATCACCAAAAAATGATTGGATGAAATTTGTTTTATAATTCTACAACAGCATTTTAAGCTTGTTTTAGCACAGAATTTCCTTTAAAACAGCAGTATCCTCGAGACACTAGCCCTTTTAACGGGATGCAAAGTTCAGGGTAATAATAAATATTGTAACAAGTGATCTTTGTAATGTCGTGCACCATCGCGGTGGTGAACGAATTGGACAAAGAAGTGAAATAAGACAATAAATAATTGCGTTCCGTCGCTCATGATCAAGTTTGATTGAGTTGTCTGAGTTGTGTTTAGCATGCAATGTTTTGAGCCTTTAAGCAGCTCAAGTTAGGGTTAGAAGCTCGTCTTCTCCTTCTAGGGTACCTTGCATGTCTGATCCACCTTGTCAGAGCTAGAGCGGGGTAACAAGGTTAACCCCTTATGAGTTTCTGGTTTAATGAAACTCAGATATTGGTTTTGAATGGAGCGCTCAAGGATTTCAGCGCACTCCGCCTTTATTTTCCACATTCTTTGTATGCTGTTCTTCAGGCCCCAGTTAATTGTTCGAAAGGTGGATAAATCTCCATCCAGTGGATAACGCAATTGAGGGGGGGGGGGGCACTTTAGGAAATTCTGGGTGGGGATGTGCCGCTGGGACCCTGGAACCCTTGACCTATACCAGAGCTAGTTCAGCTGAATTTTGCTACCCTATACTAGAGTAAACTCCCAAAATCCCCCTATCCTAGAGTAGCTGTTTCCCCAGTCTAGATAAAATCTTCAACCAACTGATCAGTTTCCTGAAAAATGATACCCTATTCTAGACCCAAACGCCCTGATTTATATACCCTAGCCTAGAGTAAACTGCTTGAAAACCATACCCTTCACAGCGGCACATACCCATATAGCCCATATATGGCAGTACCCCCCCCGGCGCAATTGATTTCTCTATTACTTATCTTCTGTATAGCGATTTATCCGATGGATAGCACTATCCAGCGTTTGAACAACAGGGACCAGTAGTATTTTGCAATAGCAATATTATTGTAGTTGATGTGGGGCTTAACACTGCTGTATAAGGGGAATTACAGCCACGACTTACAAACTCCAAGCTTTCGCTTCTCGACGGCATCACCGGTTTGTCCGCATTCATTTTTTTTTCGTTTCAGCTCTCCCGGATCACTTTGACACTGACTACTGACGGTGCGTCAGCAAGGGAGCTAATTCTAGTCTGCTATGCCAGTAACATTCATTTTGTCTGCGTGCCGTTTTTGAGATTATTCATCTTTCATTAAAAGTTAAAACTCTTGGAAACCACTAGATCACTTGAAGATAATCGCGATAACAACTGCACGTATTAAGTATATTTTGGAAAAAAATATCCCCTCAAAAATCGTTCTAACTTGATACGAATTCAAAGGGAATTCATATTACACCTTAAGGTGGCTCGATACGGGTTTTCAGGGTCAATACCTGCCAATTTTGGGCATAATTAAAGATTTGGAAATATTGTTCACCACAGCTGTATTAGATAAAGAGGAAAATTTTGTTATGATCAGGTTACCATGACATCCTAGTTGTCATAGCAACGAAATGACGCCGTTCGCCTTTTTTTTACTTGCAGGCGTATTTCTCGGCACTGGGAACTGTTCTTCCAAAATCGTTCACGGGGGCTTTT